TTGGTAAAATATTTATTTTACCCCCCGCCTCCTCCTCCTCCCCCCCGCCGCCCCCGCCCCAACTTTTCTTCTTGCATGATTTCCCTCGCACGGATTTGCCACTCGGATGTTGTTTCCTCGGGAGCCGAGCTCGGAGCCACGTTGAACCAGCCTTTTCCTCCAGTGCTATGACAGGCAAACTACTGGAGAAGCTGCCGGGGACCATGAACACTTTGATGAACCAATTGCCTGACAATCTGTACCCAGAGGAGATCCCCAACTCTTTGAATATCTTCTCCAGCACCAGCGACTCGGTGGCTCACTACAACCAGATGGCTGCAGGTAAAGCGGGAGGGAAGGGAAATGGGGAAAAGGCAGGAGCAGGGGGGGAGCCGGTGGGGCGAGGAGGAGGATGCTGTGGGTAGGGTGTCATGGAGCCTCGGAGGGAAGGGAAGAGCTGGGGCTGGGGAGCGTCCCCCCCCCGCACCCACCCACCCCTTTCCTCGCCGTGTCTCCGCGCGATCGCTGCAGGGCTCCGCCGAGCGCTGCCGCCGCCGAGCCGCCGCCGCAGGTACGGGGACGGCGGCCGCGCTCCGTGGGGAGGAGAGCGCGGGTGGAGAAGCCGGAGGGCCGAGGGGACGAGGGGAAGGCCGGGCAGCCCCGTGCCGCGCAGGGGCCGCCCGCCCGCGCCGGCGGACGCGCGTGGCCGTGGCAGCCGCCCCCCCGCTCCCCGCAGCGGCGGCGGCGGCAGCGTGGGCTCCCCGGGACGCGGCGCCGACTTTCCCGGAGCGCGGGGCCGGGGGAAACGGGGGGTGGATAGGAGAGAGGGAGGATCTGGGGGGCACAGGTGAGCGCCGAGGGCGGCGGGGGCGGGTGCTCCCCGCGTGTCCCCGCTCCCACGCGGAGCCCCGCCAGGCTAAACCCCCCCCCCTCCTCCCCATCCCCGTGTTTCTCCTCGCCGGGGCTCGGCGCAGGGAAGGCGGCGAGTTGGTAACGGCGTCGGCGGCCGCAGCCCCGGCTCCGCGGAGTGCCCAGCGCTGCCGGGGCTGGACGGGGAGGAAGCCTACCTGTAGCCGCAGGTACCTCCTTCCCCCGGCGGCGCGGCGGTGGGGTGTCCCCCCCACACACCCACCCACCCACCCCGGGCAGCTCCTCGCGGGGGCGGCGCGGGCGGCCCCGCATCGTCGGGACCCCCGGCAGGCAGCGCCGCATACGCGGGGTGGAAGCAGCGAGGGGAAGGGGGGGAGCGAGGCGAGAGGGAACCGGTGCATCCCCGCTCTGCGGAGCATCCCCCGGAGCATCCCCCGGTGCATCCCCGGGCCCTCCCGGCTTACCCTGCCCCGCTTCTCTCGCACTTTGCAGATAATGTTATGGACATTGGCTTAGCGAACGAAAAGGCCGGTCAGGAATTGTCCTCCTACTCGGGCACTTTTCAACCTGCCCCGGGCAACAAGACTGTCACCTACCTGGGGAAATTCGCTTTTGACTCGCCCTCCAACTGGTGCCAGGACAACATCATCAGCCTGATGAGCGCCGGCATCCTGGGGGTGCCGCCGTCCTCGGGCGCGCTCACCAGCACGCAGAGCTCGGCGGGCAGCATGGGGCCGCCGCAGGGCGAGGTGGACCAGATGTACCCCGCGCTGCCGCCCTACTCCTCCTGCAGTGACCTCTACCCAGAGCCTGTCTCCTTCCACGACCCCCAGAGCAACCCTGGCCTCACCTACTCCCCCCAGGATTACCAGGCGGCCAAGCCCGCCTTGGACAGCAACCTCTTCCCCATGATCCCAGACTATAACCTCTACCACCACCCCAACGACATGGGCACCATCACGGAGCACAAACCCTTCCAGAGCTTGGACCCCATCCGCGTCAACCCGCCCCCCATAACCCCGCTGGAGACCATCAAGGCCTTCAAGGACAAGCAGATCCACCCGGGTTTCGGGGGGCTGCCGCAGCCGCCCCTCACGCTCAAGCCCATCCGACCCCGCAAGTATCCCAACCGGCCCAGCAAGACGCCGCTGCACGAGCGGCCCCACGCCTGCCCGGCCGAGGGCTGCGACCGCCGCTTCTCCCGCTCCGACGAGCTCACCCGTCACCTCCGCATCCACACGGGCCACAAGCCCTTCCAGTGCCGCATCTGCATGCGGAGCTTCAGCCGCAGCGACCACCTCACCACCCACATCCGCACCCACACCGGCGAGAAGCCCTTCGCCTGCGAGTTCTGCGGCCGCAAGTTCGCCCGCTCCGACGAGCGCAAGCGGCACGCCAAGATCCACCTCAAGCAGAAGGAGAAGAAGGCCGAGAAGGGCTCGGGTGTGCAGCCCCCCGCCGCGCCCCCCGCCGCCACCGCCACCACCTCGCCCCCCGTCGCCCTCGCCCCCGCCGTCACCACGTGCGCTTGAGGGATTGTGGGGGGCGGCGCGGTGGCACCCCTTCTCCTCCCCTTGCCCTCGGCACCGCTCCGGGGGGAACCCCACGGTGTTCAGGATACCGGGGTTGTGCTGCGACGGGTCCGCTCTGCCCGCACCCGGATTGACCGGGTCCAGGCTGCCCGCACCTGGATCCTGCCTGCACTTGGATCGATGGGACCCGCACCGCCCGCACCCGGATTGCCCGGACTCGCGCTGCCCGCGCTGGGATTGCCCGCAGCACCTGGATCCCGGCTGCCTGCTCCTGCACCTTCCACATCCCGGCTGCTTCCACCTGCACTGCCCGGGGCCGGGCCGCCCGCACTGCCTGGATCCCGGCCGCCCGCTCCCGCAACTCCCGGATCCCGGCTGCCCGCACCCGCACCGCCCGGGGCCGGGCTGTCCGCGCCCTCCTTGCCCGGCTCTCCCGGATCCCCGCTCCCGCACCTGGATTACTTGCACCGCCCGGATCCCGCCTGGATTGCCCCATCCCGGCTCTCCCGCACCCCTCGGCCCTCACCCGGCACCTCCCGGCTCCGTCCCGCCCGCACCCACCCGGCCCGGCTCCGGGCTGCCCGGGCGGCAGATCCCGGGAATAATCGCGGCTGACCTGGATCCCGGGGCTCGGTCCGACCCGCCCGCCCTGCCGGGGCTGGCTGCTCCAGGATCGGCCTCCCCCGGTCCCGTCGTGCCCGGCTCCCCCGGGGCTGGGCGCTCCAGGATCCGTGAGGGGATGGACGGATGGATGGATGGATGGATGGATGGACGGATGGACGGATGGACGGATGGACGGATGGATGGATGGATGGATGGATGGATGGATGGACGGACGGACGGATGGATGGATGGATGGATGGATGGATGGATGGATGGAGCTCATCTGGCTCCTCTCCTCGCTGGGCCTGGAGCCCCGTTGCCCCCCCGGCCCCGTGTCCCCCGTGTCCCCAAGCACCGGCTCCCCGTGCTGGAGGTAAGAGGGCTCAGCCCCCCAAGCCAGGCTGGTGGGGCGGGGGGCGGCTCTGCGGGTCCCCCCAACTCCGGGGGGCAGCGGGGAGCGATGTCCCGGCAGCAGCTTTTGGGTTTGTTTTCTTATTTTTGTTTTCTTTTCCTTTTTATTATATTTTTTTCTTTGTTTTCAGCAGAAGGGAAATTCTTTACAGAAATACAGGGAAAAAAAAAAAGAATACTTTTTATAATGTGAGATATTTTTATTTTATTTTATTTGGTCACTTTAAAACAACCACCCAACTATGGAGGAGAAAAATCAATTAGTCCTCTATTTTATTATTTTTTTTTTCTTTCTCCTTCTGGTATGTGCATGTCATTGCATGACTGCTCTGATTTTTTTCTTCTTTTGTTTTAATAAAACTGTGCTCAGACATTTAAGCTAAACTAAGCAAAAATAATAATGACTTAAAAAGAAAAAAAAATCTTTGTTGCCAAAAGGTCGTGCTATCCAGGTTTGATGTCTGCATGTGAAAAAAAAAACACAAAAAAACACATTAAAAACGTACAAAAAATAAAGAGAAGAGGAAGAATGCAGTCTAATTTATGTGAACTGAAAGGAACAAAAAAAAAAAAAAACAAACCACAATCAGGTTTAACCACACAAACCTAAGGGAATGATATTTTTTGAAAGACTTTTGTATAAAGTTGAGTACTTAGAGAAAAAAAAATCATACCAGATGTAATATATTTTGTGGATGTTTTTATTTCTTGGATTTATAGTACCTTATACTAAGGTTAAAAAAAATTATGCTTGATATTGTGAAAAGGTGATAATTTTCACACACATTTCATTTGCTCATTTGTCATGTTGTAATGCAAATATGATAGTTAATGCATACAGCATTTTTAAGGGAAAAAATCAGAAATATTGAACTGATGTATTGTTGTACCATTTGCACTGTGAGCAAATGCTAATGCAGTAAATATATTGTGTTTGCTGACAATCAAAATCTGTAGTAAATATCTTTATTTGCTTAAATTGATCTATATTGGTTTGGAAAGTAAAAAAACCCAAGGTTTTAATGTGTAAGGGGAGTGTAAAAATGGTTGAAATGTGCAGGGAAGTGGGTGCTGTGTCTCTTTACGGGCGACTTTGAAACCTGTCTGTACAGAATTTTTTTCCTAGTGCTGTATTTCCTTAAATATTATTTTTTTATATGATTTTTTAAAAAAAGTAACCCACTTTTTTTTCTCAGTCCCCCTCCCTCTGCTTCGGTTCTATCCACAGGACGGCACAGCAGGACCCCGCTGGGCAACCCCGAAGGCGACCGGCTCCGTCCTCGCGTCCCTTCTTCCCCGGGATGGGGGCACCCAACTGGGATGGGGGAACTTGACCGGGATGGGGGAACCCAACTGGGATGGGGGAACCCCACCGGGATGGGGACACTCAACCAGGATGGAGGAACCCAACCTGGATGGAGGAACCCCACTGGGATGGGGAGCACCCCACCGGGATGGGGGGAACCCAACTGGGATGGGGGCACCCCACCAGGATGGAGGAACCCCACTGGGATGGGGGAACCCCACTGAGATGGGGGGCACCTGACCAGTATGGGGGAACCCAACTGGGACAGGAGGCACCCCACCGGGATAATGGAACCCAACCGGGATAGGGGAACCCAACCAGGATGGGGGAACCCAACCAGGATGGGGGAACCCAACCGGGATGGGGGAACCCAACCGGGATAGGGGAACCCAACCGGGATGGGGGAACCCAACCGGGATGGGGAGCACCCCACCAGGATGGGGGAACCCAACCAGGATGGGGCACCCACCCTCTCCCCAAAAATCCGCCGCGTCCTTGCTTTGCCCTTGACCTCCCATCCTGTTTTTCCCCGCTCGTGCCGCCGCCGCCTTGACCCCGTCACCATTTTGCTGGCGGCTTCCGCGGCGGCCGGGATAACTTTGGGCCACCAAAGAGGATCGCGCCGCTTCAGCCGGTAATGCTCCCGCGCCTCCGCCAAATCGCCCCGGGGACAGCGCCTGCAGGGGATTTTTTTCCCAGCCTGGATCGCTCGGGATAAAAATAAATCGCTGGGTTTCAGCGCTGGCGCTCGCACGGGCACGAGGAACGAGTGGGAGAAGGAGTTTGGAGGCGCTTGCATGTTTGGAGCGGTGGCGTGTGGTGGTTGGATCCTTCCCCAGGGATGGGGATGGAGCCTGAATGCCAGAGCTGGGATGGTGCTGCAGGATCCCAGACCGGGGTCTGGGGGTCCCTTGGTGTGCAGGGGTCCAGCTCTGCTGGGGTGGAGCGTGACCGGTTGAGCACCCCACAAGTGTCCTCCTTCCCGAGGCCCTGCTGGCACTGCTGGTGGCTGGCACTGGCACTGTGGTCTTTTCTGGTGTTCCCAGGGTATGGAAGTGTTGGCAACGTTGTCAGGTTTCCTGGTTTTTGATTTGGATCTGCAGCCGGGCCTGGAAAAGCTGCTGCTCCGGCCATTCCAGGGCAGCTCTGCCCGTTCCAGGGGGTTTGCTGCGCTCCCTGGCTTGGAAAGGCTTTAATTTGGGGAAATCCAGGCTCTGACTGTGACTCAGGGCACAGCTGGCCCAGACAGGGACGGCATCTCGTGGTGTTGAGGACTTGGCTTTGGCGCTGCACCGGGTCTCCTCTGTGCGGATTCCCGGTGGTCGAGGGTTTGGTGGCCGCGTGAGGCTGGATCGGGACGAGCTGGGATTGTCCCTCCCTGTGTGCTCTGGAGCTCCTGCAGCCATCAGGGGCTGCGGGGCGGCTTGGGAGCCATCGGTGTCCCCGTGGTGTCCCCGTGTGTGGCTCAGGGGGCAGGAACCAGAGCCACCACCCACAGCAGCGCCACCACGGCCCCCAGCGCCACCCGAGGGTGCTGTGCAGGTGCTGGTGCTGCTGGAGGTGCCCCTCTCCGCCGGTGGCTCATCTGGAAAACGCTGGAGATCCTGGGAACGGGCACAGCAGAGGAGCCGCCCCAGTGAGGAGCCACCCAACGTTGCACCAACGCTTTGGGCTCCTTCTGCGGGGCGAGGAGGAGGGAAGGAGCCCACCAGGCCCTGGGGAGCCTCTGTGCCAGCCGGGCCTGGGCATCCCGCTGGGCAGGACTGCCCTGGCGCGGAGCAGGAAGGTGAGGAGCACCCTTGGGTGGCAAAGCGCGGGGAGTGCGTGCAGCACCTTGCACGGAAAATGTTGGTTGCTACGGAAACACGGCACTTTCCATCCCCGTTCTGGGCTATCTGTGTTCTGGGGAGGAGGGAAGGGCTTCCAGTCACGTACCAGCTCCACAGAACTTGCTGCCTGTGCCTCCTCGGCGGGAGCGGCGGGTCCTGAGGAGGCCACCAACACCTCGCTCCTCCCTGCTGAGGGTCTCCGGGGCTTTGCAGGATATGGTTGGATCCAAGAGCTCTCCACGGGATGGGATTTGCTGCTCAGGAGGAGCACCAAGAGCTGAGACCCCGTCCCTGGGGTTGGGAGCGACGAGGACCCACAGCCAGAAGCTCGTGGTTTGCAGCTGGAGTACAGATGTTGATGGGATCCTTCCCTGATCTTCTCACCTCTGGCTCAGCTTCTGCCACGGCCAGGCAGGAGACACCACCCACAGAAGGCCTGGATGGTTCTGGATCATCTGACCTCACCTCCCACCCCGTGGGACCACGTGGATCCATCCCCACCCCTTCTGGAGGAAGGGGCCACACTCATCCTCCTGGGACAGGGGTACAAAGGGCAGAGCCTCCACAGCAGATGCTCCCCGAGTCCTGTGGCCACCAGGATGACAGACCCAGGCTCGTCCCAGCTCTGCCTTGTCCCATCCCCTGGCCCCGAGGTGACAGTGAGGGGCACCACGCCGGCGACAGGCCTGGGAGCAGCAGCTGGCAGCAAAACCTCCCTGGCCCCAGCCTTCCTCCTCCTCCTCCTCACCCTGCCCACACCTGGGTGGGGATGTGGGGACCCTCCTGGCTGCCTCCCCTCGGGGTTTTGCCCACCCCAAAACCGATCCCTCCCCCTCAGACCACCCCACAACGTCCCCTGTCCACCCAGCCCAGCTCCTCCTCCCCACCCCGGCACAAAATGGGACAATGGTGGGGGTTGCCACCCTGGCACTGGTGCCCCCCCGGATCTGCCCCCTCCCCCTGCTCCTTTTGGGCTAATCCCTGTCCTCAGCGGTGTCGGTAACACCTTCCCAGTTTAGCATCATCCTGGCTGCCTGTAATTACCGTGCTGTTTACCTCCACCTGCTAATTGGTAAAGCCAGCCCTGGCGCCCGGCCCGCCCCGTGCGCTGCCATGTGGCAGCTGGCACCAGCCCTGCCTCCCACCCCAGGGTGGCACCCTGGGCTGGAACGGGGGCTCCAGGGGCACCCCGGCCGTGGGGGGCTCTGCTGCATCCCCGACGGAGGTGGCTGGTGGGTCAGTGCTGAGGGCACGGCGTGGTTTTGGTCACCAGAAGGACTCTGCTGTCCCTCCCACCCCTGTCCAGCCTCCTCAAGATGGGTTTGGGGGGTTTCTGCCCAAAACTGGGCGCTCCTGCTCTTCCAAAGGTGACGCATGTCCCTTGGATTTCCTCCACTGGGGTGGTCCTGCTCCTCCCCCTGCCCAGGGTGTCCCTGGGCACCCCCTGCCCACGCCCATCCCGGGATGTCCCTGGGAATCCCTTCCCTGTGCCCTCGCCCACCCCAGGGAACAACCCTGGGCACCCCTCTCGGTGCCCCCATCCAGCTCAGGATGCTCCCAGGCAATTCCTGACCCTCGCCCACCCCAGGAATGCCCCTGGGCATCCCCTCCTGTGCCACTGCCCACTGCGGGCTGCTCCTGGGCATTCCACGCTCCTGCCCTCACCCACTTTTGGGATGTTCCTGGGCATTCCCTCCCCGTGTCCTCGCCCACTCCAGGGGTAATCCAGGCAATTCCTTCTCCATTCCCACCCCGAGGTGATCCAGGCAATTCCTGCCCACCCAGGGGTGATCCAGGCAATTCCTTCTCCATTCCCACCCCGGGGTGATCCCGGCAGTTCCTCCATTCCCACCCAGGGGTGATCCAGGCAATTCCTCCTCACCCATCCAGGGGTGATCCGTGGAATTCCTTCCTGCCCACCCAGGGGTGATCCCAGCAGTTCCTCCATTCCCACCCAGGAGTGATCCAGGCAATTCCTCCATTCCCACCCAGGGGTGATCCCGGCAATTCCTCCTCACCCATCCAGGGGTGATCCGTGGAATTCCTTCCTGCCCACCCAGGGGTGATCCAGGCAATTCCTCCTTGGCCATCCCAGGGTGATCCTGGCAATTCTTCCTCACCCACCCAGGGGTGATCCCGGCAGTTCCTCCTCCCGGCCCCCCCCGGGCACGCTCCACAGCTCCCAGCGGTTTATCTCCGCCCCCTCCCGCCCCATTCCCAGCCCTTGCACCGAAACCGGGCGAATTTCGGGCTCTTCTCCCCGCGCGCCTTGCCCGTGACGTCACTCTCCCCCCGCGGTGTGACGTCACGCCCCCACCGCGTGGCGTCACCGCGGCGCGCGGCCCCGGGGGTGAGCGCCGCCGGAAGGGGCGGGGCCAGGAGCGGCGGCGCTTCCGGGAGCGGCGCGGGGCGGAGGGGGAAGATGAGCTGGTGAGTGCGGGGGGACCCCGGCACCGGCACCGGCACCGGGACAGGGCGGGGGACCGGCCAGCGGGACCGGGAGCGGGGCAGCGCGGGGGAGCGGGAGCGCCGGCACCGGCACCGGGACAGGGCGGGGGACCGGCCAGCGGGACCGGGAGCGGGGCAGCGCGGGGGAGCGGGAGCGCCGGCACCGGCACCGGGCGGAGGAACCGGGACGGGGCACGGCGGGGGAGCGGGAACGCCGGGACTGGGGCAGGGAGGGGGAGCCGGCACCGGGGCAGGGCAGGGGAACGGGAGCGCCGGCACCGGCACCGGGGCAGGGAGGAGGAACCGAGACCGGCGGGGCAGGGCGGGGGAACCGGAGCCGGGTCCCGGCTCCTCACCGTGGGCACTGCGGGTGAGGAGGAGCCGGGGACGGGCCCGGAGCGAGCCCCGGTGCAGGCCCTGGAGCGGAGCCGGGGGGTTCACAGTGCTGGCCTGGCTTGGCCCCACTGCTGGGCCTGGAGAGGCCCCGGTGCTGGCCCTGGTGGGATCCCCAGTCCTGGCCAGGTTTGTCCTGGTGCCGGCCCTGGTACGGTCCCCTGTCTTGATCAGGTTTGTCCCAGTCTTTGCCAGGTTTGTCCCAG